GCTTGGATCTCCTCTCAGTGGAAAGATCCTGGGAAATCTCTATTTTGACCTCCCTGATCATGCATCTACTTATCAGACATGTTGACATTTAGAAGGACCTTTAAACTGAGAGCTTTTCTTACCTCATTTGCAGCTAAGCTGAAATTAGGATAAATGGATCACTGTTAAAGTTTGTTCTGAACACAGATCTGCAGCTTTTCGCCTCAAAGGCTTGCTTTCCTGCATCCATTAGAAGCAGAGCATGGCTTCATACTCCCAAAAGTTAATCAATATTAGTCACTGGTTTTGTTTATATCCTGCAGAATGCCAGCATCTCCATTGTTGGACTAAATGTTTTACAAAAATGGTTGTGGGTTTGTAACAAAGGATGCTGATTTCCTGCCAAAAAGCTCAGTTTCATGTTGTGGGACGGTTGCCAGGTAGGAGTAGTTTGAATTGGATCATTACACCAAACTGCACAGTTTTCTTGGCTCACTTTCCCGATATAATGTCCAGAGGGAGAAAGTAGACATGAGGTAGTAAAGTGTTTCAGAGTTTAGTTCATGAGCTTCAGATCGTCTGTGCTAATGGGGATTAAAATGATGGCGTTCTGTTGGAAACGGTTCTGTTGCCAAAGGATACGGAAAATTACATTCCTTCATTCACTTATTTGATTTGCTATGTGATCCTTTTTAAAATTAAAGTATTTTGCCATAGTCCAACATACTCCAACCTACGATGGAGTAAATCTCCTTTAACATAAAACCAATTGAATGTTAACTACAGGTTTATCTTTCTTATGGTAATATGCAGATAATAAAATCCTAACGGTTTACTGTTTTGTATTCAGGTGTTCAGGATGTTAATGAAAATATACTTTAGTCAATTATAACTGGAGCTCTTTATAATGTATCTACTTGACTTTGCAGATTTTTATGAAATCTATAGTAAAAAGAAAACATTTTTTTTTTGTAGATGATAGAAATTTCTCTATATCATATTTTGACTCTGCAGAGCGTTATGGCTGAAACAATTAATCAGATTAATCGTTTTTTAATCGATTATTGAAATAATCAACTAATTTGATAATTGATTAATCGTTAACAGAGCAACCCACTTAGAGCAGTTATTTTACCAAGATAGTAAAAAGATATATAAACATTTTGCATTTAACATTATATACATATTTAAAAAAATATTGTCTGTCAATATGCTCTTATCTAGAACTCCATAAGTGGTGAAATTTGAGTTTCACCTGGTTTATATTTGTAATTTTTTTTAAAGAACCTTTGACTATCTGATTATTAGTAATTTAATCGAAAAAAAGAAATCAACAGATTAATCAATTTGCAAAATAATCATCAGTTGCAGGCCTAGTTACAATTATTTAGCTTCCAAAGTGTCACTCTTCATTTTATTTAACTGGTATTGTAATATAATAAAATAGGACATAGAAGCTGTTATCTGGCAATCTGCATACCTTAGATGTGTCCCTGATGAGAAATGATTTGATATTATTTAGTCATTAGCAGGCGAATGCAGAGCTTAGTGTCTGGCTGAGGAGATAAATCAATCACTTGAATAAGGTGTTTAGATCCGGCAGATATAAAACCTGCAGGACACCAACCGTGGAGATGTAAATACTCAGTCATCGAAGGTTATTTAGAACAGGATCTTCCGACAACTAATATTTTAACTCGAACTATGTCAAAAATCAGCACGGCACGAAGGCAAATAGAAAAAGCTCTCAGCAGGTGTAGGGAAATCATTGGACAGACGATTAACTGAAACTATAAGCATTTTGTTTGGTCTCCGTAACCTCAGCCCTTTATTTAACAGGTAGTACATAAACAGTATTCTTTTTTTTTAAGTACATTATATTGAATACCTCTTAAAGGTATTGTGGAGAATTTTCACACATTTTAAAAAAAATCTGCCTTCTCCACTTTAAAATAAATGCATATGCAAAACCCTGTACCCGCACCCGACAGGGGAACGCCTATTAAACACGTGCGACAGCATGCCAGAGCCCATTTCTCCTCGTGCAAACTCTGTTTAAAAGTTGCTCTCCTCATAACTCATACAAGCTTACTGTGTCTGAACATCCGCCCTAAGCCCTAAATACTAGGGGGGGTAAATCACATCCATCATGGCGATTCGATTCAGTGTCGATTTCCTGACCCAACGATTCGATTATTTTCGATACTCAAGAATACACCACGATACGCTTCGATTCGATTAATTGGTTTGTTTTTTGTTTTTTTTTACACCTTACAGGCTAGACAATGTTTCAAATATGAAATAAATAAATGAAAGCTCTAATATCTTTATGTATTTTTTTGAGAAACAACAGCAAATAACAGAAGTAGAAAAGTTGCATCAAAAAATACTGCACAAAATCAGTGCAATGAGTGCAATGCAATACCTCGGCTCCAGACGTCCCCGCTCCCTCCACAGACGCTCCACTGCACCTCTCCCAAATTTTAGCTGACCACAGACAGGCGGCCAGACAGGATGCCGGCTTGTTTTGTTTTTATGACCGAAATTGCGGAAAACAACTCGTGAAGTTTGACCCGCTAGAAGAGCGAGGTACGCGAGAATGATGGGATCCTTTTTCCACCTGGATCTCTGCTCTTTTTGGCCCTCATGTCCCTCCGTCGTCAGACTAAACTCGCCCCCACTTCCTCACCGCCTCGACCGTATCTAGACCCACAGTGTGTAGCACAGACCACGCTTCAATATTGAGCATAATTTTAAAAAGCGAGGTAGGAGGGCAAAATAGGTTTAGCGCAACCCCAGCACGGGAGGGAGAATTACGTCCAGGAGCAAACGGATGGATTTCCCGGAGGGAAAAAAAACATGAATTGATACTCTTGCAGACGCATCGATGCATCGGATCGTCTGCTGTTGGATTGATGCATTGATACAAAACTATTATTATTTACACCCCTACTAAATACCTTCAATCACTATATAGAGCGGGGACTATATAGTGCACTTTAGAGCGAACTCTGTTAACTGACTGTTCGGACAGATGATCAGTGCTTTTTTCTCCCCGTTGGTCAAAGCAAATCCTATAATGCTTTGCGAGGGGAGCTCTCCACGCAAAGCATTCTGGGATAGATCTTTCTCTTCTGAGGCCTTTTTTTTCTTCTTATGCAGTTGGTAAACTCTTTTTCTCTTACCAGCCTCGGCCATTTTCAAAGAACCGCGGTGAGAAAGCTGAGTTTCGATGACTCTGAAAGCGTAGCTCACCACATATACATGGCTGAAGTGCACATGCACAGAAAAATATAGCTAACGGGACGAGCACGTAGGACGGCCTTATGTAAACATATCACCAGAATGATTGACAATTAGTAGGATACTTTTTTAGATGATCCACCCGGAAATAAAAGATTATCCTCTATACCTAGGAGAACTTTAGAAACCTGCAGTTCTATCTACAAATGAATCCTTAGAGTATGCATGGACTAAAAATGATTTTACCATTTTTTTCCCCCCTAGAAAGTCCTAACTGTAATGACATCCTTGTGCTTGTTATATTCTCTCTGCTGTTAAAGTTTTTATACCATAACTTCATATTCATGTAGAATGTCTCCTGCAGCAAGCTACACAAATATCTGCAAACTGTATCAGGTGTAGTTTAAAAGTCTTTATGGTTTGAACATTCAGCTACATTTGCTGACACAATCCCATCTTTTTATGAGCTCTGCTGAGGCGACCCAGTGACATTTAAATCCCGATGGACCAGCTGAAAAAGTGGCAGCTGTACTCTAATTGGGAGAAGTTGTCGTTAAAACGGGTTCATTCTTAAAGGCAGCCCCTTAATCACACCTTTCTGAAAAGTAATGTCTGCTCCTGCTCTCTGGTGGCTTTTCTGTGGATTATTGATCCTCTCTTTGTGAAACACTGGATGTCTCTGGAATGTTGAACTTTTGGTGCGTATTGCAGAAATGGAATCAGGTGTTCATCTCTCAAACTAATCAGATTTAACAGCAAAAGAAGAAACAGCTCCTACTTGTAGAAACAAGGATCAATTATTTATTTTATTAAAGTATGGAATGCAAATTAGGAAACAATCCAATTTTGAAAATTGTTAGGACATTATTTGTTGTACTTAACCTTTGTTTTCCTCTATTTTGTACCATTTATACCACACTTTCAGAACCTTTGCCTATTTTTAGGAGTGGACATAAAGCCCAGTTAAAGTTCTTGCAACTTACATTATATTATACCATCTATGGTTACCACTCAGGTAATTTAATTACCTACTAAACATTGACTCAGAGCAGTTTTGTTGGGACTGCAGAATTACGCACATTGATGGTTATATTGCATGTCTCAATGTTCTATTTAATAGAACATTTAATAGTCATTAAGCACTTTTTTTTTAAGTTAACTGAGTTTAGGACTTCATAAATAACCTTCTAATATCTGGAAAAACATGCATCAAGGTTTACTAAAAGAGTAAAGTGAAGCTAAAACTGAGCCATAAAGCACAGAAATGCCATAAAACAGTTCGGTTCTTTCAAACTCTGTTTAATTTGTCAAATAAATGTCAGCTATTGGAAGCAATATCAGTAAGCAATGTAACACATAGAACCGAAATGTTGGTCATAAAATGTTGTTTAAAAATAAATAAACCTACAAGGATGCTAAAGAAAAGCAAGAAGGATTAGTGAATTATTACATATTTGGGTGAACATGGAATCTGATACGCTGATTCCAGTTGTGACAATCTTGAGATTCTCCAAAGCATCCAACTCAGCTATGAAAAGTTTAGTATAATCCCAACACATGAAGCTAACAGTTACCCTTAAGGAATAAGACTAGAAATAAATAATATATATAGGCTTATGTCCTTAGTGCAGCTCCCACTGGTTTGAGTCCCGACCAAATAACTTTTACAGCCCCTCTCCTAATCCCATTTCCTGTCTGCCAACTTTCAAAATAATAAAAATAAAAGGCTAATAGTGCCTAAAAAGAATAACTAAGTCAAGGTTTTGCATTTCTTTCAGGTAAGGAAGGAGGATCAGGTAAACGGCCAGATGGTGAAGCTGTCCAAACTGAACGGAGTGTCAAAGACTGAAGGTGAAGAGGAAAGAAGAGAGATGATCACCCCTGCTCTAAGGGAAGCTCTGACTAAGCAAGGTAAGGAGAACTTTGCTTTTATGAAGGAGAAGTTAAGAATATAAAAGGTGTAAAGAGGTTGCTGATAACTGAAAAGGTTGTTTGAATGTTAAAAACAGAATAATTTACTAAAGTGGTTTTAAATCAGCTAGAAATGGTCAAGCAGAGTGTCGAGGGGTTTTGCTAAAATCTCAGTTTTCTTCTAAAAATGTGTTAAATCATTTGCGTGGGGAGCTAGGAGGCGGAACCTGATGCTTCAGTTATACGGCCTTTTTCAGCATCTTGAGGATAATGGATGATGCACTTGTTTGACTCTATTTGCCCCTGTTTGAATACATTTGTGTGAAATTCTCATAAGAGGATGGAAATAAGGCACTAGTCAATATTTGAAGTGATATTTTTCATTCACAACTCCACATTAGTAATTATAAAGGTCCCTAAAAAATTCTTGAAAAGCAGCCAAATATTTTAGACATTGTTTTTTAAGAAAATTTTAAGATATTGTAAGGAGGAAACTTTTTAGCTTTCTTTCTATATTGGAATAACAGTCCTTGTTTGAAAAGCGAATCCTCCAGAGCGCATATCTGTTCATAAATATTCATCTCCTAATTTACAGCAGTCATTTAAAACAACTATTCATTAGGTTTGCAAAAGCATCTGTTGCACTTTCGAAGGAGAGAATTTTGTTCAAACATTAGGGTTTCCTCCATTTCTTATTGTTTTCTGTTTTTTCTTTGCCCTTAGCAAAAATAGGGCTATTAGTGAAAAGAAAAAAAAATGACTTCATAATATCTTTAATGACTCTTAAAAACCTCCCTGTTTCCCTGAAAACAAAAAACATAATTCTCATGGAGTAAAGTCTCATAATGTAATGACCAACAGTGGCAACAGCTGCTTAGCCTCCAAAACAGGCAGAAGAAATTAAAACATACCTTTAAGGTTGCATTCATCAAAATGATGTAAAAGATGTTTTACTTATGGTTATGTTGTTATCATTTGGACTGAGAATAAAGTGGAACAATTTATTTAAATAATTATTCATCCCTAACCCTACATTTTAGACAATTACAGAGATTTAATTTGCAATAAATCCACATTTCCTTGTGTGTGGTTTTGCATTTATAAAACTAGTGTGATTTTGCTACCATTAGCGGCCTTTGCAGGATCATGAAGTAGTAAGACTTTCTCCATCAGAGGATTGGGTTTCGGCAATTATCATATAATTTGTTGATATCATCTATACATTTATTCTCATGAGAAGAATTTAGATTTATTGTTACAACAGTAAAGTAAGATAAGTAATTTTTGAAAAAAAGAAAATGGCAGAATTGTCTACATTTGACTTTTGTGGCCTGTATGTTGGTAGATGAGGTCCGAGTCAAATATGCCCAATAATCCCAATTCTCCCTTCCATGCCATGTCTGCTTTGGTTCTGTGACCACATTACAGGGTCTATCACTGCAGTGGTGGGTCCACTTGAACCCTTCATTCTGCTGAGACATTGGTAAAACTCAGATTGAAGAACTGCATAAGGAAGCAAGAGACTGAGGCTGACCACATTTTTATATCCCACTTTCTGATCAAAGCACTCTGTAGACTCAGATTCTGATTAGGCTACTAAGGAAAGAGGTAATTTGTTGATAATTATGTTTCAGATAATCAGGTGGAGAAATTACATCTTATTTGATTCTTTCTCCAGTTGCTTAAAGCTGATTAAAAGTGCTGCACAAGGAATTTAAAAAGAGTATGCTGTCTGATGATAGTTAATGATGCAGTGCAGGCAAGTAAACATCTAATTTTATTGGTGCTGATGGCAACAGAACATTTCTGACCTTACAACTTAAAGTGCCAGTTAAACTCACCTGTACAGTTGCTCTCAGGTTGGTACGCAGTCTATGACATAATTCAACCAGAATTAGTCATATTGTTGGACGACTACTCTTCACTTCTGAATCACAGCCTGGCCCATTTGAACAGAATTTGAGGCCATTCTGTCCCCGAAATACAGTTATTTAGGAATTACTGTTTTGCTTTAACCCTTTTATGTATAAATTCTTATTAATAATTATGTATTTTTCCTACTTGTTGCCTGTGTGTATTCTCAGTCTTTTGGGTCATGGGAATTGCAACCAGGCTTAAATCTGAGGCTTTCACTCTGTTTTCTCTGAACACATTGGGACACCGAAACTTGTTTATAGAAATCCTTTTCTGTGTCGGTTTAGCCATACTGTTATGAAGCTATCCTGCTAAGAGATCTAATCTAGATTCATTTTTAATTTTCTAACAGAAACCACCAGATCTTTGTGTCAAGTTTTCTCTCATTTCAAATATTTTTGTGATGCCAAATTATTTTTAGTGTGCTCCCCAGTCTTGTGGAAGAGAAGTAAGCCCACAGCATCATACATTCTCCACCATACTATCCCTCTCCAGGCCTGGTATTTTCCACTTCAGTTGCTTTAAACTGCACATTTTTGCTCTGATTATGCAGTAGATATGAGTTGTCTTCAAGATGCATCCATAGTTTCCTAATTGGCATCCGTCCTTATCTTTTTCCATTTTGAAAAATTACCAAAAGATGTGGGTCTGGTTGGCTATGTTCACACTGCCGCCTGAAGTGACCCAAATCCGATTTTTTTGGCCCATATGCGACCTGGATCTGATCTTGTCATGGCAGTCCGAACATCAAGGATCCAATTTTTTACAATGTGACCCAGGCCACTTGGCTATGTGGTCCTGAATCAGATACAAATCTGATCTTTTCAAATGTGACCGGTGTCTGAACGGCCAGGTCGCATTCATCCGACCTGAACGCCATTAATACCCGACAAAGGTCACTATTCTGGGTCTCGCTATGAAGAAGCGGCAAAAAAAACAACAACCATGGCAGACGATGATGCAGAGAGTAGTATTTATGTTTAACCATCTTGAAAACATTGAGTTTTTATGGTTGGGAATCGCTAGATGTGCTCCGGCACTACCATCCATGTTGACGTCCGTAAACACAGAGCCACTGGCCTGTGACGTCATTGCGTCCTCTACTGCGCATGCGGGGCACTTGCATTGTATGTCTGCAGTTCACACAGGAGATCAAATACAAGACGCACATATTTGGAAATGTGAACGACAACACAAAAAATCGGATTTCACAAAAAAATCGGAATTGAGCATCAAGGCCTGCAGTGTGAACGTAGCCTTTGGTATGTGTTGTATTTATACCAATGGAAATCATAGCTGTAGGTTTACGCTGAACAGTAAAAAAAAGTAAAATATAAATTAATAAAAGACCCAGTTATATTTTTATTTTAAAGGAAGAAGTGATTCTGGTAAAATATCTCTAAACATTTTTTTCCCTCCAGCTGAATACATTTGTTTTAATTTAGGTCAGATTAATTAGGTAGATATTTTTTTACCTTCTTATGCAGGATGTCATCAGGTGTGAAGAAAACTGTATTATGCCACTTTCTATGATGTTTCTTATTTTTTTTCTACCTTTCAGTATTATAGCACAGTCCAGCCATTTTCCACCAACACTTCCTGCTGAAGGCTCGTACTAAAAATAGGACCCTCTTAGCAAGACTTCTCTCTGTTTGACCAAATAATGACCTGTTTTGTGTGCTATGCTGGCAGCAGTCAGTCCTGGCAGGTGCTTGGTGTATTTGGAACTAAAGAATGGAGGATGGAAGTGTTGGCTTTGTTTTCATGGCATTCAGTCTTGGGGGAGATGTGCTTCCTGTACAGTCTTTTTGGCAGAGTGTTCGTGCAAAAGTCACATCCTGATGAAACTGTTGTTGAGCATCCAGCAAAGTTTTAATCTATTTTTTCCATCACTAAAGCTTTTTATATTACAACAGTTTTGTTTTTTTAAGATGATCTAAATTAGTTTTTGAATTGTTTTGATGTTTTATCTGTGTGGTTTAAAGTAGACACCCCAGTCAGCGTGATTGTTGCTTAAAATGCCATAAGTCATTTCTATTAGCGTGTGTTCTTCAATGGGCTCACAAAGGTCAAATTATTTTCCTGTGTGTGAAAAGATAAAAAACCTCTTCTGTAAAAAAAAAAAAAGTAATACTAATTAGCTTTGATAAGAAAAAATGCTTTTGTTTTGTGGTTTGAGATGACAGTTATCAAATGTAGGATTTACACATGGGAATATAATCATTTTGGCTGAAGAAAGTTGGGGATAAAAATAATAAAATCAAGCTTGTTCTGTTTTTTTTTTTTTTTTAATCTTGGAAATGGTTCCGACAAATCCTGACTTGGCTCATTTTCCAAGTAACTGATGAAGCACCCTGGGCTTTGTCATTGAAGTTATTTTGAGCAGCCAAAAGCAGAGTTTCCAAAAAGTCTGCATGATTTAAAGAGTGTGTTGTGTTTTCTTTTTATTAAAAACTATCATTTAACTTTCATTTTAAATGTAATCTTTATTCCGGTCTGAATTAAGTGATATTTTGGCGTTCCTCTGAAAGCAAAAGGTGGTCCATCGATTATACTACTGGACAGAGTAGAACACAGGGTGTGAACCCTTAAAGGTATTGTGGATGATGTTCTTTTTACGGTGTGAGAATCAAAATAAGTGGTCCTCCTAATTGTCAATCAGTCTGATGATATGTTTACCTAAGGCCGTCCTACGTGCTCCTCCCGATTTTCACTTATCAGTGGTGAATCTCACATAGTGTAAAAATTGCAAATCTTCTTTTGGAAAGTAAACTTGTATGAGTGATGCAAACAGCAACTTTTAAACAGAGCGTGCATGAGGAAAAAAAGGGGTTCGTGCATGCTCTGGCAGGCGTTTAATAGGCGTTCCCTCTCGGTAGTGGGTACAGAGTTGTGCACATGCATAATTTTTTTTTATATGTGGGAAGGATAGATCTTTTAGAAAATTCACAAAAATCCTCCACTACACCTTTAAGCCGGATGAAGAAGTCATCATGCTTATAAAAACAAAGTCACATTCACCCTCCAGATTTAATCCTGCAGAATTTAAAACATTTGTGATCATGCAAGTGTCTGATTTGTTGCCTAACAACTTTTTATCTTAGCTAGGTCTTCCATTAAAAAATCAGATTGCTGTATAGTTGTTTTTCGATTGACATAACTCATTCAATTACGGATCCGACCCTCTAAATCAGGGGTGAACAATTAAAAATCAGCGGGGTGCGAATAAAGAAAATCATCAATCAGTAAAGGTCCAGAGACTTTTTTTTTATTGTAATCTGTTACTTTAAAAATAATTTAACACTGAAATAAATGAGGTGTTTTTGCATCCATGTTATAGATTGAATTTTTATAACGAGTAGAATGTTTTTCCATTTTTAAATGTCAAATAGTTTTTTGGAGTAGAGAACAACAATCGTTGACTTTGGTATATAGACAATTTCTTGATTCACATATTTTATAAAAAAAACACCTGAACTGAGCGTTTGTAACTTTATTTTATTTTTTTATGGTTTAATGAGAGCAGTGGGCTTTATGCTGCCCCGCCAGGCTTTAAACCTGGGTGTGAATGGAGACAAAGCCATTCTTAAGCACATATCAAGGTGTTCATTAGTGAGCCTTGATCAATATTTATTTATGATTATGGTCAGGGTGGAGAATCCTGCTTCACAGCAGCAGGTTGAGCCAAACATACATAAAATGTGCAGGGTCATCTTTGAGCACGCCATTTCACTTTCACCGGTTCACCACAGTTCTTCCAGCAGTCCACACAGCTCATTGGCTGATTTGTATGAAGTGCAGCCTGGTGCCGGACGCTCTGGAGGGCATTACCATATAAACAGGAGAAACGGCACAAGTTAAGTTAGATACTGTCGTCGGATAGCAAGCAGTAATTTATAAATATTTTAAATCAGGTTGGGTCCGGATTAGCCAGCAGGTGGGTCCGGATCGCAGTCCACTAATCTGTGACCTCTGCTCTAAAGTTACATAGGTCCATTATTCAGAGGGGCAGCAATGATATATCGAAGTGCTGTATTTCTGCATAAAGGATAATTTAGTATATCTTAATTTAAGCTAATACTTGGGTCAAAAGTTACACATTATTGCTTTAACCAGCCACTAAGGATGGTTCACAAGCTTTATTATGCTTTGATTCAACCAAAGTGCCATTCCAAAGCTGGAATTTTGCAGAATGGCTCCATTGTGATAGAAATTACACTGTTTGGACAGATAAGTGAGCCTTTATTTTCAAGCAAATGAAGAGGTTATAGAGGAAATAATGCAGTTCAACAAGCCTTGCAAACAGGAAGCAGGTCATCATTTTTAACAATGAGCCATGGAAAGATGCAGGGGTCAACAGAGGACATGGTGATTATGTGAAATTTGTTTTTCTTTTCCTAACATTGTTTGTTTAATTATACAGATAAGAATGCATTTTGTGTAGTCAAATGACATTCAAAAAGATAAAAAAAAAATGCAACAAAAAATGGTTGCTTCTGCTCTACTTCAAGAAAATAGCGAAGCCTGAGGAGGATTTGAGTTCTAAAGAAATTTCTTTTGAAAAAAACAAAAATCCGGTGTCTGAACAAAGCTCTTTAATTTATTATTTGCATCATATTTTGTCCTCTTAACAAAAGAATCCTAAGCAATGCTTGTAGTAATTCTAGTAGTATACGAGACGGGGAAAAAGAAGGTTTTCTGGCCTCGATAAAGATGTTAATTGGACTAAGCTTTCATCCAGCCTGTAAAGGCTACAACTCTCCCGGATCTTTCAGTTCTCTCTACAAATTCCCTGCTGTTCTTTGAATTACCTTGTTCATGTATTTCTGGGTGTATTGGCAGCTGAAACCCATTAACATTTCCAAAAGTCTTCAATGTGAATGAATCCACCCCTTTAAACGTTTCTTTAGAAGTCAGAAAGCGGTTCTGGAGCGCGTTATGTGATAGAGGTGAAATATGCTCTGTGACAGACCTCACAGAGAAGAATATAACAGAAAGAACAAAGATTCTGACATTGATTCCTGCACATGTGTCACAGAAGGAGGTTAAATTGAATAAAAGATAAAAGACATCATTATTCTATTTTATAAAGCCTCTGTAATAGGACTGCAAATATGTTTGCACTGCACAATTCGATTGTGATTCAAATAGCTATGATTCAATTAAAAGATAATTATTTGTGCAACATTTAACCTCACCACACACACAAACCAGCACACAGGCATCAGCCCCTAGATCATTAATAAACACAAACTATGTATATATATGTTCTGCCATCTCTAAACCAATGCAGCATATTCCTTCACAAAAAAAACAGCTGAATCTAAAATGTCTCACCTCATCTTTGACCAAAAAATAACCTTCTTTTTCGCTATCTGCCTTTCCTGCTACATTTATATACAGCCCATTAATATTTAGAGCTCAGCAACTCTCCTTCCCTGCTTCTCTTTGAAGCTTACAGAACACCTGCTGTCATGCATTTTAAAGCTGAAGTCTTTAACTTTTCTTCAGCAGCTGTAGCTCCTGCCCCTGTTCCACTTGTCCGCCCAAAGGCGCTGAAAGCAATCCCTCCTAAACATTGATTCAGCTGCGGGGCAAATGGTGACACAGCATCATTGCACTGATCCAGCAAAGAAGATATCGGTTGAAATGGCACTAAGATGAACGCCACACTAATCGATTAGTCTACAATTCCCTCCCTGTTATCCGGCAGTTGGTATGAAGTTCATCCTGTAGACTGACATCACATTTGATGAAGGTCTGTTTGATATTTAAGCTAATTATTTATGTTTGTATCAACTCTGAGTCATTCAAGTCTAGAGCCAGGTATTTCTCCCATCCCTATTCTTTAATTATATCATATATATATTTATTATATAGCCCATTATCAGGTGTTATTTCCGGTGACTGATTGGAATCAGATTCACCGATTTTCTTCTGATAGAACCCCAGCTCCCCCCAACTCGGCCGTTGGGTCCTTGGGCAAGACACTTCGCCTACTAACGTTTAAGTTTTTTTTTTTTTTTTTTTATATAGCTGGTTGAGAGATGCTGACAAAGGTAATAACATAAGACAAGGGCCTGAGGTACAGACGGCAAAGAATTTGCCTGTTAAGCCCAGAGAGTTTAAGAACTTAACTTCCATCTGAAAATATACAACAACGAAAAAATCAAGAACAATCAAATATGATGCAAACTGATGTAAAGATAAAAAAAATAATAATAATAAGACAACACAAAAAAAAGCTTATGGCATTTTCAGCTATTTTTAGATGTAACCATGGCTTATTTATGGTGCGTTTCATTTGTCCTGGGAACTTTCCTACTTTCAAAATCCCTAAATTTCAGCCGCAACGCCAACTTCTGCATTCAAGATGGACGCTATTCCACTGAACAGTACGGTAGTTAAATTTTGTTTCAGCTCTTAATTATTTATGGAGTGTTGGTAAGGCAATATGTTTTAATGCTGTGTGGCCTAAATACTGCAATGGTTGAGAAATGGTTTTGTCATTGTTATGGCTGTATTAGTGGCCATAGAGAATGCGAGCGTCTGTAGGCTGAAAACTAGAAAGCTTTAACCTCAGATTTTGCATTACGCCAATTTGTTAAGTTTGAGTTTGTAGTATAATAGAGCACACTGCTATTTTTGATTAAACAAAATACCTCTTAATTTGTCTTAAAGCCTAACCTATTGAGTACACTCACTGGCCACTTTATTAGGTACACCTGTCCAACTGCTCGTTAACACTTAATTTCTAAGCAGCCAATCACATGGCAGCAACTCAGTGCATTTAGGCATGTAGACATGGTCAAGACAATCTCCTGCAGTTCAAACCGAGCATCAGTATGGGGAAGAAAGGTGATTTGAGTGACTTTGAACGTGGCATGATTGTTGGTGCCAGAAGGGCTGGTCTGAGTATTTCAGAAACTGCTGATCTACTGGGATTTTCACGCACAACCATCTCTAGGGTTTACAGAGAATGGTCCAAAAAAGAAAAAACATCCAGTGAGCGGCAGTTCTGTGGGCGGAAATGCCTTGTTGATGCCAGAGGTCAGAGGAGAATGGCCAGACTGGTTCGAGCTGATAGAAGGGCAACAGTGACTCAAATAACCACCCGTTACAACCAAGGTGGGCAGAAGAGCATCTCTGAACGCACAGTACGTCGAACTTTGAGGCAGATGGGCTACAGCAGCAGAAGACCACACCGGGTGCCACTCCTTTCAGCTAAGAACAGGAAACTGAGGCTACAATTTGCACAAGCTCATCGAAATTGGACAATAGAAGATTGGAAAAACGTTGCCTGGTCTGATGAGTCTCAATTTCTGCTGCGACATTTGGATGGTAGGGTCAGAATTTGGCGTCTACAACATGAAAGCATGGATCCATCCTGCCTTGTATCAAAGGTTCAGGCTGGTGGTGGTGGGGTCATGGTGTGGGGAATATTTTCTTGGCACTCTTTGGGCCCCTTGGTACCAATTGAGCATCGTTGCAACGCCACAGCCTACCTGAGTATTGTTGCTGACCATGTCCATCCCTTTATGACCACAATGTACCCAACTTCTGATGGCTACTTTCAGCAGGATAATGCGCCATGTCATAAAGCTGGAATCATCTCAGACTGGTTTCTTGAACATGACAATGAGTTCACTGTACTCAAATGGCCTCCACAGTCACCAGATCTCAATCCAATAGAGCATCTTTGGGATGTGGTGGAACGGGAGATTCGCATCATGGATGTGCAGCCGACAAATCTGCGGCAACTGTGTGATGCCATCATGTCAATATGGACCAAACTCCCAGAGGAATGCTTCCAGCACCTTGTTGAATCTATGCCACGAAGAATTGAGGCAGTTCTGAAGGCAAAACGGGGTCCAACCCGTTACTAGCATTGGGTACCTAATAAAGTGGCCGGTGAGTGTATAAGCCACTGGAGGCTGCTGTGCCCACCAAGGGGTTAACCCTAACAATAACCCCAAGTTAAAGGCTTGTTTCAGTTTGCTAACTTTAAGCTGATTTTTGTTTTAATCAAAGCCTTTTTCTTCAAATTTCATACATGTTTCAACTTTGTGTCTTTCAGGATATAAATTAATTGGAAGTCACTCTGGAGTGAAGCTCTGCAGATGGACTAAGGTGAAAAGATTTGAAATTCTTACCAACTCAGCAGGCAACCGATGTTTGAATAACAGCTAGAGTTTTTCTTTTGTTCTATATTCTTAGTCCATGTTACGAGGGAGAGGAGGCTGCTACAAGCACACATTCTATGGTATTGAGTCCCACCGCTGCATGGAGACTACACCCAGCTTGGCCTGTGCAAACAAGTGTGTCTTCTGCTGGAGGTAAGTTTGTTTTTCCTTAATTGGATTTATTCATTTTCAATTAAGGTCCAAATCCTTGGGCAGGATTTGGATGTTGAGCAAAACTAACAACCTTAACTACCTCTAAAAAGATACACTAAATGCTAGAAATAAGTTTATGGAAGTCAAACTTTTGATAAACTCTATTGACATTCTAGGCAGCACTTTACAATAAACTGCTTTTTTTGTTTTTAAGAAAAACAGTTGTTTTTTTTTACCTAAAAGCTTGGCTTATTTTTATTTCTTATCTTTACTTAAAAACAAAAAAATATCAGAGCCCTTTTTTTTTTTCTTTTTTTTTCAGCAAGCATTGACAACCCTGGTAACGTTTGAACCAAACCTTCATTTTACGGCTCAGGCAAAACAAAATTAGTAAATTCACAAACCGTATTATGTCCAGGACAGCTCCCTGTCAAAAATGTCAGCACAGTTATAGAATAGAATTACCATTCAATTTAAATTGTTATTAGATTATTGTCCCTGCCTGTGGATTTGACAGGTTTTCCTTTCATTTGCAAGGCATGTGGTAGAAGTCTCTGATTTTTATCATATGTTCTCTTCAAATGTGACAGAATCTAAAGCAAAAATCCAGAAATGACATTGTCTGATTTTTCTCTTATTAATATAACATACACATTTGATCTCTGACTAACCAGTAAAAATTGAGGCTCATACAGGCCTATTAGTCCTTCTTTAGGAAGTCCTGTTCTTGACTCATTAACTGCATTAACTATTTGAACTTGTTATCTCTATAAAAGACACCTCTCCACACAAAGACCAGAGAGCTGTGAACGACATCAGGCTTAATAGACCTGCACACCTGGGAAGAGCTTCAGGAAAATAGGCAAGCAGCCAGATCAAAAGGCAACAAGTGCTGGTGCAGTTATAAGAAATGAAAGAAGATCAAAATGACGGGCAATCTCCCTTAATCTGGGGCTCCATGCAAGATCTCACCTTTCAGGGCATTAATGAATATGAGGAAGGTCAAGGATCAGCCCAAAACTAAATGGCAGGACTATGGTAAATGACCTGAATGGAGCTGGGACCACTCACAAAGACCCTCAGTAACAAACCGCTCTGGATTTAAATCCTGCAGCACACACAAGGTCCTCCTGTTCTAGCCAGCACTTGTCCCGGCCTGTCCGAAGTTTACCTCAGACCATTAGGATGATCCATAGAAGGAATGGGTTACGGACAAATGGTTTGATATGGCAAAAATAAAGCTACTTTGGTCTAAACTCCACCCACCATGTTAGGACTTAGCAGGATGAATACAACCCCAATAATGTTGTCCCAACCATAATGCACGCAGGGGTGACAGGGTAACTGCAAATTATTAAGGGAAGGATAAATGGAGCCATTAATCTCTCTTCTCTCAGTAAAGACGGGCATACACTGTCTGAGTTTTTGCCCTTTTCAGTACTATGCTCCAGTCATGCGAGAATTGTTGGGATTGGGCTGAGTTTCGGCTACATTGTGCGTCCTGTGTTGTTTTGTGTTGTGTAGCGGAGCAATCGGGGGTTAAGGTCTTGCTCAGCAACCCAGAATGGAGGCAGTGGGGATCGCACTGGGTACTCCGCAACCTTTTCAGAGCACAAGTGCACTGCTCTAACCCACTAGGCCAACACTCCACATTAAACTCTGCGGTTGCGTCGTACAGTTTGAGCTGTAGTTGAGTACAACGATTCAAAATATTGTACAGCGTATGCCTGCCTTTAAGACATCTTAGGTGGGTCGAGACTGGGTCTTTAAGCATGAAAACAGCCCAAAGCACACAGTCAGAGCAGCAGCCAGAGCTGAGGCCCAAAAGAAATAAAAGGCTGAAATGGCCTAGGGAGGCTTCAGAATTCAATTCAATAGCAAATCTTTGAAAGGAACAGAAAGTGTGTTTTTCCCAGTGACACACCTGAAGGGTCTGGAGAAGATTTGAATTAAGGAGTGATCCAAGATCCCTCCTGCAGTGTGTGCCAATCTGGTCAAACACTTCAGGAAGCTTCTGATATCTGAAATAGCAAAAGAAGGTTTCTTTACAAGTTATTTAGCTTTGTTTTCTAATGTAGCAAATACTTATGTCATGCAATAAAAAGCATTTTTTTTCTTGGATTTCACAGATTTGTACATGGTTTACAAGTGGGAAAACCTGCAAAATCATCCGTAGTGTCAAATACTTGTTCTCTCCTCTGTATGTGTGTATATACAGTTTTTTGTTCATGGTATAATATGCCATGAACCAAAACATCTATAATGTTTGGCCTTTTCTTTGTTAATGTGACTTATTACATGTTTTATCCAAACAAAAAAATGCATATCTTAGAACTTCCACCTGTTAGTAAGTCAAAGTAATTATTTACATACAAAACACTTGTGTTGAGTCTAAATGTGAACACTGATTCATTCTGGCACCGGCGAGAGAGCTGAGCGTTTGGTCCCCTCAAGTTCCTTTTCAAACAGAGGCTATGAAAGGTCGCCATAAGAACGTGCTGCGGTGAAACTGCGTGCCTGTCAACACAGATCTGCCAGTCTTTCTGAAGGCTGTTATGTGGGATGACAGGAAAAAAGCTATTTCAGGGCACAGATGCATTGCTGCTCTGGCCATCACCTTGCTGTCACAACAGCTGCTATTAGAATGTTGAGACTAATATCAGTGGAATTGATGTTAGTACTTAGAATAGATGACTACACACAGCACTGATGACATTTATTTGAAATAGACATCAGCCTTTAGACAACCCTTTTCACACTGATAAACATATAGATTATATAGAATTTAAAATGTATTCACCTTGGATGCCCATTAGGATTTTAATTGACTTATCCAGGGAGAGACTCTTCAGGAAGCCAAACTGTCCTAATTTAAAAAATAAAAAGTAAGGGTGACATTTATAGACAAAAAAAAGGAGGCTGTGCAGTAAAGGTAGATTTACAATATTACAACTGGTTATTAAATACTCAAAAGTAGAGCTTGGTAAGGTGAATTAAAAAAAGGCTATCATGTTTTGCAAGTCTCAAATTGGTTTTAAGCTTTTATGATTAAGTCTTGACTGAGTCAAGTCTTACAACTAGAGATTTGTGATAAACTTGGAAGTTCATTCATGGAGTACACACTATGGTAAAGCCAATTCACCAGATCTTTCCAAAATGCCTAAAAAAAACTTAAGAACCATTTTTTATGACATTCTTATCAGAGGTGTGCCTCCTGCCAAGAAACAATCCATTACATTTTGGTGAGGATCCAGATCATATTTTGGATATAGGATAAAAAAAAAAATAGATCTCAGACATTATGAGATTGGAGAATCAGGCAGTTCCACTCTAAACCAGACGGTGGCAGCAGTGACTATTGACCGCCTCAGTATCAGACTCAAAAAGTCTGCAGGTGTTTTACTGAAGACAAAAACACAAGAAAAGGGAATGTTGTTGGTTTGTTAGCAGAATCAATTGAAAGCTAATGAATGGATTTTATTGAATTTTTTTTTTTTACTAGAGTTGTGCCTCATGTCAAGGAACGATTATTTAAAATTTGGTAATGATCCCGATCACGTGCAAGTTCTAGTTATACTTCAGTCAAGAGGGGGCAAAATTTGCTGCTTGGTGGAGGTCTGCACTCTGAGTGCTATTCTAGTTTCTATAAGTAATATGTGATAATTAAAGTATATTTAATAGCAAGTATGAATACTTTCATGAAACATGTAGCAGGAGCAGCTTGAGGTTGTTGAAAAGATGACTTCTTCTTAATGCACTCTGGTGTAATTCTGCAGTAGGCAGCATAGATGCCTTCCAATAGTGTTAAGTTTCAGAATGTCGATTTTATTTAACTGTCTCATCTTGTCTGCGGGACATATGTTGTGTCTTCAAATTTGCAGCCTCATAATCCCACAATAAGGCCATGTCTGCCGTTACAACAGAGTTATATGCCATGTTAGACCCTCTGTAGGATTAAAGAAAAGCAGCTGATTTGTTTATGCTTTTTTAATGTTTTAAAACAATTTTAGTGATTTTCGGTGTGTTAACTGTCACCTCTTTTATCAGACATCACACCAACCCGGTGGGGACTGAATGGCGCTGGAAAATGGACCCAGCAGAGAAAATCTTGCAGGATGCTCTGGAAAAGCACCAACTCATGATACGGCAGTTCAGAGGTGAGTGTTTGAGCAGGCTCTGGGTTGGAGTTCATGTGTAATGCTGGAACTAATCAGATTTAGGAACGGGCTCTGCCCTTATGCTTCACAAACAGCAACAGTTGCACTCAGCGCCACTTTATCATGTGCACATTGCATCCTGGCAGTCTTCCTGCTCACGACCTCTTCCAACCTTGAGTTTAATGAAGAAGAGTGAAAATTAAAATGCAGCTGTTGTACCAGCTTTTTCGTCACAGTTTTGCCACCGTGCCTCATAAATCACTTTTCAACTGTGTTCCTCACACACTAACACGCACGGTACATTTTCACCATCTGGAACTTCCTGTCCGAACGTACATTATTTCTGTCTGTTCACTTGGAGCTTTAAAGCCAACGCGGAACCGAAATCATATAAGCCTCTTTTAACCATTTTCAATAAGAAATTAGAATAAATAAATAAAAAAAAAAACTATACTGTCCCACATTATGGATATTTTAGTGTGATATAAGCAAAATGAGTAGATGCACACAAAAACTAAATGGTATAAAAAGAAACTGCATTTTAAAAGCTTCACAAAACAAAAAGAAATCATATTTAAGAAGAAAAATGCCCACATTGCATTAATCAAAAAATGTCTATTCAGGTAGAGATGAGAAATGTATAAATAGAAACACAGGGGAAGATTTTTCAGCTTGATCTTTACAACTTTTGCTGCTTGGGTTTAAAATGTTCCTTCTCTTGAATCTTCCAGTTTACCTGGAAGCAGCTGGCTGTCGGCCAAAGTAAAAAGAAAAGTCTCTGAATTGGAAGGTAAACCAGTCAGGTTTGCCTATATAGCTTCATCTGGAAAAACACAATATGTATTTATACAAGCAGGGAAGACTTGGACAAACCCAATTAACCCAATTAACCTTAATAAACACTTCCATCACTCTGTACAGAAAATGGATACATTGAAATAGTTACCATCTTTGAACTTATCAGAGCAGCAACCATATATTAACGTTCAACACTCTGCTTGTATCCTGGAACATACTCTTCTGCGAATGCTCGATCATGCCCAGTGCCTGATCTATAGAAATAGCCTCTATGCAGCCATAATAGAAAAAGTTTTATATCTTATAGAGTGGGACAGAAACGGCGTATTCCATCCTTTAAACATGTTGTAAGTACTACTAATAAGGCTGAACTTACCTGTAACTCCCCAGGCTGCAGAAATCACTTAAATCACTTGGAGGAGAGATGAAATGTTTCAACAAACATCCAATAATTTGTTCACCAATCATAGAGCTACTTGACATATCTGATTCACATTATTTCAGATCAGAATAAGACTGTTAATCAGTCAATAATTGAAACTGGGGGTGCTGAAGCAGTGAATCATTTCATATAATAACAATAATAACCTTTATTTGAAAAGGACATTGTACAGCTCAAACATAAATATCACTGTATGATGCACTGTATCATGATGGACACTGAGAACTCCATGTTGAATGTTTCCATTGGTAGAACTTGAATTTAAAATTTGACCTGTGAATCTCTTCAGTTCATCTTTAAAAGTATATTGGAGAAAATTGAAAAATAATGCTCATGCACAACCCTGTACCTGCTACCGAGAGGGAATCCCTATTAAACACATGCAAGAGCATGCACAGGCCCATATCTCCTCGTGCAAGCTCTGTATAAAAGTCGCTGTTTGCATCGCTCATGCAAGCTTACTTTCCACTATGTCAGACTCACCACAGGTAAGGAAAAATGTATTTATGACAAGCAAATGTTTGTAAAGCCAATCTTAATACAGATATTGTGAATGCAAATAAGGATGGATCTCATCTCACCCATATTCATATATACAAAGTTTCCCCACCAATAACACTACTGGTAAATTGAAAAAATAAAAAATGTGTGTGGGGTAAATAAGGATCTGTGCCGCCATATAACTTTTAATGATGCAAATTACAAAATAAATATACTTACCTGCCCTGGAAGTTTCAATATAGAGGTAGATACATTTTACTAGCAGTGATGTGAAATGGATTTCTCCAAATAGTGTGCCAAACTTTGCCTGTTGAATAGAAATTTTGCAACCGAGGCATCAGTGGGAAACCTCTCCTGTCCTTTAAGTATACGCCATCACGTGAAAGAATCTCCCAAAAACACTCGTTTCTCTCTTCCGGCGCCTTTCTCTTCTTCTCATACACTTTGTTGACACTTTTTCTCTTAATACTCGCAGCAGTTTTTAAAGAACCACGGTGAGAAAGGCGAGCTTGACTGGATAAAAATATAGCTAGCTGGGACAAGCACGTAGGATGGCCTAATGTAATATCACCGGAATGATTGACAATTAGGAGGACCACTTATTTTGTTGATCCACCCGGAAATAAAAAAAAAAATCCTCCACTATACCTTTAAGTCATTGACTAATCCAAACTCTTTGACCTTCAAATGCCCTGACTCCCCTGACTCTCTGCCTCCAGGTGTCCCTGGAGTGAAGCCTGAGCGGTATGAGGAAGGTTTGGCCGTCAAGCACTGTGCCCTGTCCTTGGTGGGCGAGCCTATCATGTATCCGGAAATCAACACCTTTCTTCGCCTTCTTCACTCTCATGGCATTTCCAGCTTCCTGGTCACAAATGCACAGTTCCCAGAAGAAATCAGGTGGGGGGAATTAATGCTTTATTGTTTGGTTTCTTATTTTTATATGAGAATATGTTCACATATCTTTAAAAATCTTTTTTTTTCCTTTATATTTTACTTTTAAAAAGTCAAACTTTCCTATTATATTTGAAAATTATACTAAGCAGAATTTTTAAGCCTTACCTTCAGTTCCTCTGATACTTTTTTTCTTGGTATTTTCTAAGTAAAGGTTTCTAAAATGCTTTATTTATTTACTGTAGAAACATAATAAATAAAAAAAAATGTTGCTAGGGCAGCAGAAAGCCTTAAGAAGTGTTGATCAAGAATACTAACTCGTTCAAACAATATCTGGCTTTAGGAGAGTTATATAAAAATAGTTCAAATGTGTCTCAAAATCTTTAGTTTGAGTACCTGGAACAGCTTGACTGCCTGCAAGGTGCACGGAGAGGACAGAGAGAAAGTTATGGCTGAGAACAAAGAGAGCAGGCAGGTTGTGGCAGCCTTTTAGAAAGCACTGCCTTCACACGTAGAAGATGTTTTTTCAGAGTTTGGGGTTAATTTGAACGCTTTAGAAACATGACCGGTGTTGTTTTCATTGTGAAGGAAGATGTAGTTCTCAGAAATGCTCCTCGAAAACACTAATTAGTCTCAAAGCAGAATTTGGATAACTTGGATAACCTTCTTAAATATTAACTACACTCCAACTTTTTTGAGTTTCTTTGAATGTGAAGTGACATTTTGACGCGTGGATTTTGCAGTGCACAGCAACTTTAAACCTGTCTGTCCAGAACCACTTCAGGGTTGTTACGACATCCCACACACAGCTAACCAGCCTGTCAGCGACTCACTTATCACACACTTGTCCTTTAAGGTGAAGGCAAGGATACCAGTCAGCAGCTCCTCTTTTTTTTCTTCCTTTTTTTTTTTGTCCGGATGAGCTGCCTTGGTAAAGAAGAGCTTTTTTTAGTCTCCTTTAGAGGGCAGAGATATTCACCTTTTTTACAATTAATTCTGTTCTAATTTTGCTTTTCATTTGTTCATCAGTTAATTATAAGAAATATAGTCTATTTTCCCAAAATAATCGAAATTTGCTACCCTGTTTAAGATATAAACTCTGTTCAATTGTTTATTTAGTGGTAGGCAAGTCATGTTTATTTATATAGCACATTTCAGGGACCAGACAATTCAAAGTGCTGTATGTGATTTTTGCGGGGTTACTGATGGGATAGAGCAGAGGTCATGGATTAGCGGACCGCCATACGGATCTGGATCCACCTGCTGGCTAATCCGGACCCAACCTGATTTAAAACATTTATAAATTACCGCATGTTGTCTGACGACAGTGTCTAAACGTCACTTGCACCGCTTCTCCAGTTACCCCGAAATCCTACATACTCTGTCACCGCTCCGCCCTGCTGTGCTCCAGACCGCCTGTGCAAAGCAAAGCCTACAGCCTCTGCTGTTCCTCACGTATTGCTGCGCTCCGACTTATTGGTGCAGTTTCTGATGGAGATGAAAAATCTGCTTTCTGGTCTGTTGAAGTACCAATAGTTTGCATCCAATCTTTTAAATAAACGGCATTAGTTTTTTTAAATATATAATAATTATGCTCTAATTTGTTGCTACCGATCTGTTGTTACTATATTTTAGACTTAGACAGATTTATTTTGTCATTTTGTATGCACAAGTGTAATCAAAATGAAATTTAGTTTAGAACAGCTCTCTAGACAGTTTAATTTTTATAAAGTGCAGCCTTGATAAGTTAAGCAGCAGTTGTTGTTGAGCTCCTGCTACTGCCTCCAGCTCCTAGAGCACTCGCTTCTTTTAATTTGACAAACCGGATCTTCTTGCTGCTCTTTTTCCTGTTTGGTGCGATTGTAATAGCAGATCTTGACCCGTCCGGACTGGAGATGACCCTGCACATTTTCAATATGTTAGGCTAAACTTACTGCTGTGAAGCAGGATTCTCCACCATGAACAGAATCAAAAATAATATAGATCCAGGCTCAAAATGAGAACCTCGATACGTGCTTGAGAACAGCTTTGTCTCAATTCAAACCCAGGTTTAAAGCCTTGCAGGGCAGCATAACACCCACTTCTCTCATTAAGCCAGAAAAAAAAAAACTTTTAGTTCAGTTGTTTTATAAAATGTGTGAATCAGGCAATTGTCTATATACCAAACTGAAAGATTTTTGTTTTCTACTTCAAGAAACACTTTAGATTTTAAAATGGAAAAATGTTCTATATTTTTTTATATATATATTTATATATATTATAAAAAAAAATCTATATATTGCATGGATGCATAAAAACCTCATTTTATTTCAGTGTTTAATTCTGTCTAAAGTAAAAGATTATAATAAAAAATGTCTCCGGACCTTTACTGGTTATTTTCTTTATTCGGACCCCGCTGATTTTTAATTGGTGACCCTTGGGATAGATGGTTGGTTATGACTGATATTCTTCTGACTAAATCGTTTACCCATAAGTACTATTTTGGTACTTTGAAGGAAGGTAACTAATGTATTAATACGTGCAAAAGAAGGTCCAGTTAAATAAAAGAACATACTTTTTAAAAGCCAGATTTTTTGTTTATGAAACATCTTTTTTTTTCTAATATAATATTCTGATTTATGGAGACAGTGGATTTCTGGTTTTCATTTCATATTCATAATATTTCATCCTGTTTATTGAATCTATTACAATATACTGTGTAAGTTTTACTTTCTAAGAATGGAAAAGAGTGGAGAAAAATCTTACTTTTTATCAATATTCCAATTTCTTCTCATTTTTTTTATGTACAATTCTTTCTTATTTAAAGCGTTAAATTTAATCTTCACCTGAATGTCTTTCTTACACATATTTGCGGTTTGTTTTCCCCTCAGGAACCTGGTGCCAGTGACTCAGTTGTATGTCAGTGTGGATGCCAGCACCAAGGATAGTCTGAAGAAGATTGATCGGCCGCTTTTCAAGGACTTCTGGCCTCGTTTCCTGGACAGTCTCAAGGCTTTGGGAGAAAAAGTAAGTTCTGCTATTTTGATTTAGGTGTTGCTGGTTGAATCTATATTTTACTTTAATGCCTGAAAACACAAATCCATCCATCCTTCCTTCCTTCCTTCCTTGAAAAAAAAAAAATCATTTTACTTGCATGAACCTTTTTGACTTTGCTGTTTGTTACTTTGTGTTTTACAGCTTATAAAGCTGCAGATAATCAACCTTTAATGTTCCTCAGAATTTATGCTTGCTTGGCATTTGAAAACAATTCAATAGGCTGATAGACTGCCTCCATCAATGAACAATGCCAGTGTAGCAAAATCTTGTTAATTTCTTAAATTTTGGTATGATTTGATTTTATTCGGGCACATTTTAGAACTTTTGTCTGATTTTACATCCTTCTGCAGAGAATATATACTTATATAAAAAAAAAGCTAATCAGATGTCATGCAATGAGGTGCTGACATGTTTCATGTTAGCAAGAATGCTCTGATTAACATTTAACTGAAAAGGTGAGAGAGCCTTAAAATGTTGAATGTTAATTAATCATGTGATGAGAGACCATGGGCTAGATGTAGTTAGAAACCACATTAAAGAGCAGAAACAGATTTGTCGTCCCGTTCTATGTCACATTTTCTTTAAATGACTTTGTTAAAAAGAAGAAATTGTCCAGAGAGCTGTTCCAAACAAAATTTATTTTTGTTTTACACTTCTGTAAACAAAATGACAAATAAATCTGTCTATGTCTACGTCTTCTTCTCTTAATTTACATGAACAATTCTGCAGCATTTTTGATGCTTTTCTTGTATTTTTGAGGAACAGTTTCTTCCTCTCTTATCCTAATTAACCATTCAAACTGTGTTAAGTATCAGAAATCAAGGATTTCATCAACGCGTTTCAGAAGAGCTGGCTGATAATAAATCTGTACCCTCTATGCAAAAATGAAGCTCACTCTGTATAAGTGTATCGGCCCTTTGGCTGACATCTAGGCTTCCTCTCCCTGGATTTGTTTGTGCGAGATTACAGTCCAAATGCAGGAATTAGGTCGATGCTTAATTCCAATAATTGTAACTGCAACAGAAACAGTCTTTTTAAACACTTCCATATTTCCACACACACATAAGAAACCGTTTTGTTTGCGGATCTCCAGTTAGCACTTTAAAAACATTGACTGGTCGCGCGCTCCACACACTCCAGACTCTGTCATTAACTCAGACTCATCCCATGGGTGCTTGGAGGCAGGTGAATAGCTGCTCCTGCTGTCTCCTGCCCCGCAAGCTGACAGGAGACCAACCTTTGAAGACAGGTAGCTGGTTCAGGTTCAGCAGGCTTAGAAAAAAAATAGAATCATAGCTCTGCAACTGTGTAGCTGTAGCTGCAGGTAGTCTAGAGCAATGTCTCATAGGGTAAATCTGATAGTTTGCATATGAAGGGGAGACATAAATATCACCTCTCAGTGTGGAGAAACTATTAAAAGAAATGGGAGTGGACCTGATTATCAAATGCACAAAATAGAAAGAAGATATGAGTGCAGCCCAGGAAAAAAAAGACCTCTTCTCAATGACAAGTCAATCATAGCGGCGGCAGGAAAGAGATGCCAATTTCGTGGTAAGTTAGATATTAGTGACATCATTCCAATTTCTGAGCTGTGTCAGGACTTTTTTTTTTTTAACATGGTAGCTTTGTTTACCATTAATCCCTGACTGGAGCAGCTTCAGTGTATCATCAACCCATCTCATTTTTACTGTTGCAGCAAACAAGGAAAAAAAAAATTAAATAAAGTAAGACAATTCGACAGAAGTCCAGGAGTTTATGGGTGTGTTGGATTTCAGAGGCTGCATATACCAAGTCCAGGTAGACCGGATACTTGGAGGTCCATGAAAATAGGGAGGCCGGAAGAGTTTTGGCTGTGGATTCAAAGAGGTCCAGCCTCCCCCGGCTTTCACCGCCTGTAAGCTCTTTCGCCTAGCAACCGTGACACCTGTCACACAAAGCAGACAAAGAATGGATGTCAAACTTCTACTGTTATTCTGGGTGCTAATTACATTTTAGAGGAGCTTCAGCAGTGGTACCGTTGTCATGAATATCATATTTATAGTCCTCACACTGTAGGGATATTGGAATCTGTGCTTAAATGTCAGCCAAACCCATTTGCAGAGGGACAAATAAAACTTTTAAATAAACCAAACTTCTGCCACATATCGGACACAGTAACCATAAAAAAATATTTTCATTAATTTAGGATGGATCGATTCACATATTGTATTTTATTAAACAATATTCAGCACTGTTCGGCTCCATTTCCCTTTTTCCTCTTAGCACAGAGCAGCCGGCTGCATTTGTCAGCCGCATGATAAGGAGTTTTCCAATCCGAACAGGCTATGGCGCCCTGTTATGACATAATAGGCTGACGAATCTGGCCTTTGGAGGACGCAGCCACTGAATTTGAACTCAGCATATGTCAATTCTGTCAGCTTGCACCAGATCATTGGTCTCAAACCCTTAAGATCCACTGTCCTGTTTGAGATGAATCCCTGCTTCAACACAGCTAAATGAAATGAATGTCTCGTTAACAGACCTTTGCCAAACTTCATGGCATGCTGAATAATTCACTCATTTGAATGAGCTGTGTTTGATCAGGATCCATCTAAGATCTGCAGGACAAAACATCTTGAGGACCAGAGTTGGAGTCTGCTGATCTAGAGCAATCTGTAGTTGGAGAGCTGATGTTTTTAAGCAGCATGTCCATCCTAGGCATTTTCCAGATTGCTTATGTGTGCTGTGAGCTCAGAATAGCTTCTTATGTTAGCTTTGATAAGTCATTTTAATTATGTACCTTTGTATGTATTCAAACAGGCTTGTGTTGAATGATTAGATTATCTGCAGAACAATGCTTTAGTTGAGGCTTTAATTAAGAGCAGCACTAATTCACAGAGGAAAACCGTGTGCATTAATATATTGAATGGGTTTCAGTGTTGTTATAATGTCACTATAATTACACTGTATTTAATTTTACGTGCTCTTATTGACTGGCTTGGACTACTGCTAAGCAATGATAACCAGGATAATCTAATTAAAGATGTGTTGTATTTTGTTTTCTTAACAATGCTCTAAATGTTAGTCTTTATTTTCCATTTTGAAATGGTTGTGTATCATCTCTTTACTTAAAATACATTTATCCTTATAGGATTTTTCGAACGGTGTTTTAATTCCTGAAACATGCTTATCTAACTTCCATTACTGTCATTGGGAGAAATTCAGTGAAGTAAAACTGTACTCTCTGCTGCTAACAGCTTAAATAGCTCCTTGTTTGTCCTTTTCCATGATGGGAGGCTGTATTAAATAGGTTGAAAGGTTTTTAAGCCTCTAACATTCTGAGATGGATTTGCTTAATTTTATTGAGTTTTAAACTTTAACAAACTTTAACAACTGGCCACTTTCTTTAGTGGAGGTTCAGTGTCTCAGTCATGTTTGCTGTAGTCTTAGTAAATCATAGAGGCTTTTATCCTTCACAATGTTGAACCGCTTGCACAAGTTAGGTCTCTCTTAGTGTTCTGCTTAAGGCTAAAGAAAATAAATAGGGATATGGTGAACTACCAAGCAAATAAGTTAAAAAGTAAAACATTGGTTTAATGGTTCCTCAGAGGAGACCCTCACAACACTCTCCTCCTTTTTGTATGCAAGGTTCAGTGAGTAAAATAAGTATTGGAACACCCTGCTATTTTACAAGTCTTCCCACTTAGAAATTACAGAGGGGTCTGAAATTGTCATATATAGGTGCATGTCCACTGTGAGAGACATAATCTAAAAAAAAAAATTAAAAAAATCCAGAAATAACAATATATGATTTTTTTAACTATTTATTTGTATGATACAGCAGCAAATAAGTATTTCAGCACCTGTCTATCAGCTAGAATTCTGACCCTCAAAGACCTGCTAGTCTGCCTTCAAAATATCCACCGCCACTCCATTTATTATCAGTTCACCTGTTTAAGGTCGTTAGCTGCATAAAGACACCTGTCCATCCCATACAATCAGTAAGAATCCAACTGCTAATATGGCTAAGACCAAAGATCAGTCCAAAGACACGAGACAAAATTGTACACTTCCACAAGGCTGGAAAGAGCTACGGGGAAATTGCCAAGCAGCTTGGTGAAACAAGTTCCACTGTTGGAGCAATTATTAGAAAATGGAAGAAGCTTAATATGACCGTCAGTCTCCCTTGGACTGGGGCTGTATTCCAGATCTCACCTGGTGGGGTCTCAGTGGTCCTAAGAAAGGTGAGAAATGAGCACAGAACTACACGGGAGGAGATGGTCAATGACCTGAAAACCTGGGACCCCTGTTTCTAGGGTTACTGTTGGTAATGCACTAAGACCGGCAAATATCAAGGCCCATCTTAAGTTTGCAAATAACCATTAGGATGATCAAGAGGAGTCATGGGAGAAAGTCATGAGGTCAGATGAGACCAAAATAGGACTTTTTGTTTGTAATTCTACTAAATGTGTTTGGAGGAAGAAGAATGATGAGTACCACCCTAAGAACACCATCCCTACTGTGAAGCATGGGAGTGGTAGCATCATGCTTTGGGGTGTTTTCAGCTCATTGGAAAGGGAGACTGCACTGTATTAAGGAGAGGATGACCGGGGTTATGTATTGCAAGGTTTTAGGGAACAACCTCCTTCTCTCAGTTAATGCATTGAAGATGTGTAGAGGCACACAGCACACAGCTTGGAGAACCAAGGAGTGGCTCTGGAAGAAGCATATTTAGGTTCTGGCGTGGCCTAACCAGTGTCCAGACCTAAACCGAACAGATAATCTTTGGAGGGAGCTCAAACTCCATGTTTCTCAGCGATAACCCAGGAACCTGACTGATCCAAAGAAGATCTGTGTGGAGGAATGGGCCAAAATCCCTCCTGTAGTTTGTGCAAACCTGCTGAAAAACTACATGAAACGTTTGACCTCTGGAATTGCAAACAAAGGCTACTGTACCAAATATTAACAAATATTTATCTGCAGCTGTTTCATACAAATTAATAGTTAAAAATATCACATGTTAAGATTTCTGGATTTTTTTTTTTTAACCTTATATGCTAAAATATACAAAGCTGCTTGAATCCATTTGGAGAGAAAATAATGTAGTTTGTTTATTATATTTAGAGAACATATAATTTATGTTAAATGTGGCAAAATGTAATCAGGATTTGTATTTGTGGAAAATGTTACGACATTTCTGTTTACGGTATACTGTTCAATCAGAAAAATAGAAGACATAGTGTATAAAAAAGAAGAGATTTAATCATTTAAGGTTAATACCATTATTTGTGATTCCGTTCTTTTCTTTCACCCTCCAGAAGTAAATATCTAGACCCCAATAAATAAATGTCTAAACCCCAAAGTTTTTTATTTTTTTATTTTGGAGTGTGCTCATCTCCATTCTTTCCCTACCACTCCTCTCTTTGCCTAATTTTCGACAGCCTTTCTTCTTTACTCCACCTGGCCCCCTGCCATTGCTTTGGGAATTGTCAGAGTTGTGGGTCTGTGTCAGATTTGGAATCATGGCAGCTTGAAATATCTCACCTCCCTGCTGCTACTGGCCAATTATCCCCTTCTCTACCAGCCTGAAAGGACCTAATGTTGCAGATAACCTTCCAGTGCAAGGTAGAAATTGGAAGGAAATGAAGGGAGGTTGCGGTCTCCTCTCCTCACTGTTTATAATGCTGGGTAGCAGAGTCAGAGTGGAGACGAATGAGAAGCATCAGCAATTTCTTTTCTTTGGATTAGCCATTTCTCATGATAATTTATTCTCACCATCACGTACTGACTTCTCATATCCCTATTCTTTTGCTTATTCTCCTCTCCATCATGTCACGTATCCAATACCGCCGGTAATGTTTTAAAGTCGTTGCGTGGACGTCAAGCAAAGCCTCTTCATCTCTTTTATTTATTAAGTTTAAAGTAACTCCCTGTGTGATGCAGTTCATGCTTTGTTATTCACAAGAGTTTACCTGAGTGATGACGTAGATGTTTGATGTTTAGATTTGTATAAATCAGGAGCAATAATCGCTGGGTTTTCTAAAACAACCAGCGTAGAAAATCTGTCTTCTAGTTATGAATTAGGTTTTTTTTATAGTGCTGTTTTTTTCTTTACATTTTGGTTCTAGATCTAATAGTTATTATCATCAATAGTTCTATCCTGTCTGTCTTCAAAACTGTTGATTTTGATCATTTTGCTCCTTTTAAATGCGTGATGAATTTTTGTCCACAATTTGGTCATTTTATCTTATTTGTAACCATACGCTACACTAAATATAGTTTTGATCAAGTACAATGTTTGAGCTGAAAGTAAGTACAAATATTGCCCAATAGTCATTGTTTTTTTTCTTTGTTTTTTTTTTTTTGGTTGTTCCTTTTTTTCAACAGTTTTTTGAGACATTTTCCATAGATATTTTTTTAACTCCGTGTTTCCTGTCCCCCACTTAGAGACAGAGGACGGTGTACAGACTGACGCTGGTGAAAGCATGGAATGTGGAGGAGATGCAGGCTTACTCTGAGCTCATTGCTCTGGGACAACCCGACTTTATTGAGGTTAAGGTAAGACTTGTCAAGATTTATGAAATATCTATAGTTAATTATTCATACTCTTTTATGGAGCAATTCTTATTATCTACTTATCTTTGATGTGTTTCTGCATAAATAAACAATTATAGACAGAAAGTTTGGTTGATATACTTTAAAAAAGAACAAATTAAAGCAAATTGTAAGAGATGTCAGATGTCGTTGACATAGTTTTGTGAAAATTAGTACCGGTACATGCATGAATTTATATTCAAGCAAGTATTTTGATCAGGGAAATAATCATTAACTTAATTTAATTTCTGGATTGTGAAACAAGCTGATCGCCCTCATTTATCTCATCAAAACATTTTTAATCAGCACTGCTTTACTTTTATTTAATGAAAAAAACTCATTTACTGTAATTAAATAAAAAAGTGCATCTTTTTGTAGAGAAACCGACTGTTTCAGAGATTGCGGATCAAATTTTTCAGACAAAGTGGAAAACAAGAACTTTTTACATTTTTTCTGTTAAAGATATTTAATTACATTTATAACATTGAACTTTTCATTTTGCCCATTGAATTTTATTTTTGAGCTTCAATTGACAACAATTTATGTTTCTTGTGCAAGACTTTTTGGGAAATGAATTGCCGTTTCCTTTTCTTGAGCCACATAAGGAGCTATTTCCGTTAAAAGTGTTCATTATATGAAATTATTTAAACTGTATGTACTGTAACGTAAAAAAATGCATGCATTTGTAAAGATATATTTATTTATTGCTGATTAGGTTTTTTTGTATATTGTTTGGATTTGTTTGTACAGAAAAAAGGTTTCCTCTTTGTCTTTGCTTCATTGCCTAAAATGTAAAGTCAGATTTGCAGCATTTGTATTCCCTGTTCAAGTTTCTAGTTCTCACCAATCTATATATTTTAACCGGCTTAGTTGAAGTTAAGATGACATTCTTAAATATTATATGAATTTCAATCCTTTTAAAGCCCTTTAAGTGGGAGAAGTCGTAAAAGGAGTGGGCTGTGGACCCTGCTGACCTGAGTGTGGCGATTTGGCGAACATTGTATTATTACAGCTGGAAGTGGCACCTGGTGATAGTTTGAGTTGTGGTTGTCGTAGCAACAAACGAGCAGCAAGTATGTGTTCATTTTTTCAGAAAATCAAGGTCTTGTTCCAGTCAGAATAGAACAATAATCAGAGGAAAAGGTTTGTTGAATTATTTCTCTGTAATAGCCCCTCATTGTTAAAAAGAACAAAAACAAACAAACAAACGACTGAGAATGAGTTTAGGATACAAGGAATACATTTGGAGTTTAATGTTTTGAAGTTTCTCCTTTAGGACATTCATTGTTTTTCATCTTCAGTTATTCAGAGCCAGGATCTTCTATTTAAGTGAGAGCTGGGATTAATTACACCTATTTTAATGCTCAGGTGCAAGTTAGTTGGTCACTTAAGTCTTCATTCATGAATACACTTCATACTTCTAATGTAATGCAGCTGTCATTTATAAAGTTGTGGACAAAAAAAAAACAACAAAAAAAAAACAAAAGAAAAATTGAAAAGCTTCTGAGTGTTCATGAAATACCTGTTCCTAAACAGAAGCAAACACAACACTAACTTCCCACATAGTCTAATTTAGGACACGTTTTGGCTACTTGACAGTGTTTGATTTTTTCCTTGCGGTGGAAGCTTTCATTAACCCAAACAGGGTGTCAGTAAATCAAACTAAAACCTAAAAAGAGCTTATAAAATTTCTACTCAGTTATTTGAAATATTAGAACCACTGATCACATTTTCTTTCTTTTATTTGCGGTAAATATGTTTTAAACTTCTCTGATTTTTGCAAGTTTGCATTTTTCTTTAATGTTTTACTATATAATAACATTGCACAAGAAAATTCAAGATCTGGAAGAGGACCCCTTTCTCTACAGGCAGATCTATTCAGTCTTTTTCTATGTGTGATCTGAGAGAGGTCATGCATGCATTGTAAAAAAAAAATGGATCATGGTCATCTGGATCTTTTTTACACTACCTCATTGAACACATTTGAGAGCTTTGTGCAATATGTGTGTGAATATATTACACTAGAAATGTGGCAAAGCAGGAGAGCACCATGCAGTGTCTACAAAGCTACAATACCACAAACTTATTCAAAAATACTGCATTAAAGACCTGGAGGATTTTTAGACAGATGAAAAGTAGCAGCCAGCAGGAATCACTTCTGGAGTCATTTAACAATCGGCTTAACTTTAAATAATGCATCTTTGTACCTAATCTGTGCTGATAGTGTGAAGCAAAATTTTCTATAAAGTGTAACATATATATATATAAAAAAAGATGTAAATCCCTTAATTGTTCTATAATGGGGGAACTTGTTCTCTTGTGGAGCAGTGGGCTGCCATTGTGCGGCGCCCGGGGAGCAATAAGGGGTTAAGGATCTTGCTCAGGAACCCCGAGTGGAGGCTGTATTGATCGAAGCGGGAATTTTCAATCTTGTCAGAGCACAAACACACTGCTCTAACCTACTAAGCCAACACTTCCCTACATGCCTGTCGAAAGTTTACTACGGCCTATTAAAAAAAATAAACTCTTATTTATATAATAACATTAAAGCAAATAGAGCTCTGCTATCAGAAGATTATCAGGATCAGCATATATTCAAATTCAGGTCTTAGGATTAGATTAGAGGTAAAACAAATAATAAATATAGGTACATCTCTAGTTTACATTTAAGGTGGAAAGTTAAAAGCACTAAAAATTCAACAAGGAAATACATTTATATTAAAAAGAAAGGATGAATTCTGTTTGCATAGTATTAAATATATTATTTACTATAAATCACTGAGAGGAGTGCTAAAAGATCATTTATGTGTAACAAACTTATCTTATTACTCTCAAATTTACAAAACATGTTCCTAAAGTTAATGGGAAAACCTGAGTTGCATACTAAAGGGAGGCGACATCACTTCCTGTCCCTCAGTTCTCTATACAACTTGTGAGTGGTGAAAGTCGTGTGTCAGATATCAAGCTTATGCACAGGAATATGTATACTATAATATGACACACGAAAGTTGAAATATGTTCAACTTTTGCCACTGGTGCATGGCATAAAAAGCAATCATTGATGTTTCATTGACTCTGGCCAATTAGCAGAGGGTTTTGTAGTCTGCAACTACTTGGCTAATTCATTTTAGCTGCGTACATATAATGTAAATGTCCGTCAATCCTGGTATAATTGTCTTAGTCGTCATCCTTGACATCTTGTCTGTGATGGAGGGCTTTTAAAAGGTCAAAATCCAATTTTTAAATTACTGGGAGACAAGCGACCTTAGAACACGGTTTTCAACCTCTGCTGTCTCTGTCGCGTCCTGTCGGGTTTCACAGCAGTGGCGATGACCACCATCTGGCGCTGCCGTTTGGTTGCTCCCTGTGTGTTGAGCCCCTTCTAGAAAGAAATGTGAACATTAAAATGCAACAAATATATTAATATATTTCAATGACACATGCTGTATAATGTCTGTATGTGTAACTTGTCTTCGTTAAAACTTTATTGATGTTAAATACTGAATAAAGAGGAGATCTAAGCCATATTAACAAAATAATAAGTCAGAATTGTAACAGGAAGCAAGAAGCCTGATTCAGTATTTGTAAAGCTGCTTCTCTTCCTTTTAATCTGTTCCTTTGGCTGTTTTTGAGCTTGTCTGGTCTGCCAGCATGGTGCCATAATAAAGCTACAAGATCAAACTGTTATCTGTGCTTTCCTTGTGCCTCAAGTGTGTGTTCTTATTGAGGAACTGGATAGGATATGCAAAGTGGTTGGGGACATTCATTTCTGAGTTGTTATTACATCAGTGTAGCCAAAACTGTATTATCCTTGCAGCTAAAAACACTTTCTTCTTGTAGGGAACAGTTCTTGTTTCCAACCAGATAAATATCTATTGTTAGATGAGCTTTTAATATCAGTTGGGGAGTTTCCATCAGTTTTTTCTGTTTTTTCTGAGGTAATGTGCTTTAAAGGAGGCTACATTCTCAGTCCTGAATATACATTACTATACAAATGTTGTTAATAAACCATTAAATTTTCTTCCATTTTAAAAATATAGTGGGATCATTAATTAAAAGCTTAAATGCATTTCCTCCCTTTGCAACTTGGCTTGTTTTTTTTGTTTTTTTTTTACCCCACTCAGATTTACTGTTCATTCATTGTGTTAATATGTTAGACTTAAAAAATACATTTGTTCCTCACAGTCCCAAAAATTTTGTGAACGACACATTTATTTTAAGCAGTAATATTATATATTTACCAAAAACTAGGAGGATTAGAAAGAAGTTTGAAGAGAATAAAGAAAAAAGATGTGGCAGAAAAACAATTATAATGTAAAAGACAAATGCACTAATTATCAATAGGCTCCAAAAAATATAATAAAGTTATGATTAATCATCAAATAGTGGCTTGTTAGGATAAAAATAATAATTTAATGAGACTCTTCCTCACCGCCTCAGCTGTATCTAAACCCATTGTCCCTCTTGCAGCGTGCCGTGGAATAACATAGCACAGACTATGCTTTAATATTGGGCATAAATCAGAAACATCTGCGACAAGTTCACTGCAACACACTGCTGCGGGAGGATAACCAGCCCTTGAGTTAATGAGCAATGAAAACAACTTAAAGCTTTCAGTTGTAGTAATATATAAAATGGAAAAGCTGTGACCTTTCGTCAGTTAATTGGGGTTCAGTGGGTAGAGTTGTCATGCAGCTGACCACTACAAATCAAATAAACAGTTTTTAGTTTACTTTCTTTCTACACTGATTGTTGTGCACATGAGCAAGGCACCTAACCCGAACTGTCTACCTATAGTCCTGTCTATGCATGGATATGAAGCTTTTTTTTAGCACAGTTCCAAAAATATGGCTCTATTATATCAATGTAAATTGTTTATTTACCCTAACTTGTATATTTGTTGCAGAATTCTCCAATATAGTTGTATATCCTGTTTTCCTAAAGTCATTCTGCCTAAAATCCTT